TCACGGATGACCTCCGTGACCACAGCATGCGTACACGTCTGTAGCCTGACAGAGATTCTAGAGAGATGTCAGACATTGCATACAAAAGTCTTTCCCACAGTTTGCAGAGTACAACGCAACCGAATTGAGCATTCGGCGGTCTACCGAAATTCCAAGAACTCGGAGTGCTGTTATTAGGCGTTTAAACGGCAATCGAACGCATGACATTCTGCTTACCACGGATCATACCTGAGTTGCCACACGCACGTGAGTTCCACACCAATTACCTCACCTCCGTCCAATGGACTAACAATTACTCTCTGCCGGAATCATGTGTGAGCCTTTTGTATGACTGTCACACTGCGTCAGGCGTGGATATCACCTGAGTACCGAAAGACACTGGCTTTTCACTAGTATAGATACGGCCGTGGATGTTTTTGTATTGTTCGGGTAGGAAAGACTTACTTGGCAACAGCGTTACACAAAAAAGAGGCATATATTGACTGGCCCAATACAACAAGTAGTATATTACACACAAGTATAGCTTTACTACAGTTTATCACAAGATAACCAAAACGAGTAGAGATAGTCCAAGTAGACGGCGGCGTGTTTACGGCAGACTTGAGGAAGAGACACGTCACAACGCCTCTAAGACGAGGATAAATTAGACAACTTGATCGCCGTGTGCTCAAGGACGATTCGACAACGGAGTGGTCGAGGAATGGAGAGGCGCTTACCTTCGAAACCTTGTTTCAACGGGGACAATGAGGGTTGTGTTTGTTGTGGGTGATCGGGAACGGAGTTCATTTCGGCCAATCGTTGTTCGTTTATGTCGATTTGTTCGAGGTGAGGAGGCTGATCACGCAGCCTTGATTCTCCATCCGATTCGCCAAACTTGTGCATGAAGAAATTGAATTGGAATATATGTATCAGCAAGAGTTGTAAGCGTGTGTTTGATGGAAATCGACGTGTTTTGCACTAATGTCAGATTTCTGTGACCCTCAGTAAACTCTTATGTGAAAATTCTTCCAAGTTACATTGATATCAGAGCGAATGTGCCCGTTGAATTTTGTCAACAACTGAAATGTTGATAAGTAACCTCAGAAGTCATGGAAACGACTTCTTCTCCATGTGGGTAACTGGGCAGACCATTTTCACTCTCTGTTCAAAGAAGCAACTTCTGGACCCGACCGAAATTGGGCTGCCACTCTGTTTACTGATGTTCACATAGAAGCACAAGAACGTAGGTTCAACAGTTTATTCTCTGGATCTCGCAACACGGGAGGGTCAACGGAAAAACGAGGTTAGAAGCATAGAGACATAAAAACGATGTTAGTAATTGAGAAGGGCTATCAAACTACTTTACGGTATTGAGGGATGTCTTCATTTTCCACAATCGTTACCGCCGCCGGTTCGGAAAATTGACAAGAGAGATTGTGATTCACGACGGCGCGGAATTCGAAATCTGTCGGCACATTACATCGAGCTTGACCAATTAAAACAGCTCGGGTGTTTGTCGCCCCCACAATCGCTAGTTAAATGAATTTTGGTTTGGATAATTACTGTCCTGGTCAAAATCACATTCCCCGGGATAGTTTCGTTCATACTGGAACTCGGAAACGATATTTTGTTGTGCGAACAGGAAGCATTGGTGTTCCAAACGAATATTACGTTGTCAGCATTGATAACATTCAGCGATCTGGGCGAAGTTGTGCACTACGGTCGCTGGCACCTTCCGGAGTCATCGAATTGAGAAAGAATTCGCTGTCGGTGTATGTTCACCCATTGATAACATTCAGCGATCTGGGCGAACTTGTGCACTACGGTCGCTGGCACTTTCCGAAGACATCGAGGTTGATGTACCTACTGAGATTCCACCCTGAAGGTTAATTTTGTGGATACGTGTAGTGGAAATAATAGGAACAGACTAAGCGATTTGTGTAGCCTCGAAGGGATTCGCAACAACCTGTCAAGGGGAATCTATACTAGTCTCCTGGTTGAAGGCCGACAGCGCCAATTACGGTAGGCTTCAGGTGCATGCGGTAATATCTCCTCCAATGGCTGCGTCCGAAGCCTGT